TTGGCTATCTATCATCTCATATCCAACGCGCGCTCGTGGAATAATTGTTGAGTAGAAGTGAAAGCGTTCGTTGATACCTATGGGGTTAAGAGTCTCGATTTGAAAGATAAACTTTTGTTCAAGAGTTTTGCGGCTTTCCGAGCTACCCGAATGTAAGAAAGACGGCAGATTCATCATTGCCATATGCTGCTTCGAATGATAAGGAAGATTAAACTGTCGGGCGACTGGTTTTGATGAGTCCTTGTCATTCCTTTCTACGTCGCTTTTAACTCTTTACGGTGGCCAATTTACAATTTCAACTTAGTTAATATAATCAACTTGAAATTTCCTTGTTACCCCCACCGACGCTGCTCCACAGTTTCTTTGGAAACTTACCCCCTTTATGTATTTTGTATAGTTTAGTTAGGTGTCCCCTTTTAGCGGTGGGGATTCCCTAAAAATGAATCAGAATCTCTATTCGTTGCTAACCTGACAGGCTCGCACTTGCTGGCGTACGGAGACCAGCCGATGACGGTTTCTCTATTTAAAATAAGTCTATTACATGTAAAAAGAGAAATGCTGTTTTAAAATCAAATCAGATTACCTGCAATGATATCAGGATATTCCTCCCAAAACTTTGCTTGGGCTGTAGGCCTGGAATAAACCTCATCTCTGTTTGATGCAACAATTAGCCGGTATCCATCAGGGCTCGGGTCGTCACAAAAGTACATGAAGACGATGCACATTGTCGATTTATTTGAATCTATAAATAGTGGCAGAAACTGGACAATGTTGAATTCAGGCTGCTTCAAACAAAATAAAAAAGAGGGCATACTGATACATGAGGGCAATTAAGCTAGTGCTGAATAACTTGGAGCTGCCCCACCTATTAAACATCGAATATTGCATTTGGAACTGCAATGGTATGCATGGCGGAAAGTGTTCAGTCTACATACGATACTGCTTTCCGTAGTTTCTTGATCTAACACAGACGTAGTCAACGAAAACATAAACAGTTACTACCATTAGATTATGTTAACTTTTGGTTCTAACAACGAATATCGTCATAGCTGGTGGGGGCCCATCTAGCACACATACTAAAAAGAGTTCACCGCTGTGTGAAGCAAGATGCTTGAAAACAGGATAAGAGAAACATTGCGTAAAATTTTTCCTGAGTTTTAAACGAGACGTTTGGGCGGTTATCAATTGTGAAACGCAGCAACGTAAATAACTGTGCCATGCACTAACGTCGATAAGACCTCAAGTAAAGGAGGGCGTCAAGACAAGGTTAGTAGGCCAATCCTTCGCGTTTCTATGATCTAACTTTTCTGGTCACGTGTTCGTCAACTGTGATACTTTGTTTCTGTCGTTCATGGCAATGCATGCACTCGCTGAAATAACATGATTCAGTGATATCACGTTTCTGGGCGTTTACTAGTGAGACAAAATGTTATGGTTCAAAGACGGTAATCAAAAGAATACGTAATGTCGACATTGAGAACATTTCATCCCTGAGAACAAAAAAAATAGCCAGTTTGGCAAGATTACTACAAGTAAAGGGACTTAGCCAATTATTAAGTTGAAAATATAAATCTTCACATTAAAACGCCTAGTTTTAAGTATTATTTCAACTGAACGTGCATTAGTAAAGTAAGTACTTACTAATTACCGCGTC